ACGTGAAGAAGACAAACCTCAGACCAAAGGCTTCATATGGTACAAAGGCTTCATACAGATAGAGGACTCACCTAAGTCGCACTAACGCAAATGTTTTGCAGGGAAACCATACTCAGGCATATGAATATGAGAGCGGTTCATCAAACCGCCATGTTCATAAGACCAAGAACTATTCTGCTTATTCTTATGAGTACTATTGTCCGCCTGCAAGACTGTTTGCTAGGGCTCCAAAGCCAGAGTTCTCAGATGCTGCACTTAGACTTATTGCTTCTAAGCCACCCTTGAAGATGTGGGTGGCTAAGAAAGCTTAACTCTCTTTTGCAGGGAAAGGTCTCCAGCAGAAAACCAAAATCGTCTGACGCTATTGTTGGGGACCTTAAACATCTTGTAGGGCGCAAGATCAAATGTCCGAATGGTCTTACTATGTACTTCGTTCCTGAATCGCTTGCTACTCTCCCTATTAGTCCTAATCTGGATCTAAGCTTTCATAACCCACTGGTTCGTCAAATATTTTTGCTTCACAATGTTCTTCGTGAAGCCTATCCCCCTAACTGCACTGTAGGGTACGACACCAGCGTCTTCAGAATGGATTATTGATAGTGGGTGTACAAATCACATGACTGGAAAAGGAAGCCTTCTTATGGACTCAACCTTACGTCCATCCGACAAGAGCCACATCACATTTGCTGACACTGATAAAAGTAAGGTATTGGGTCTAAGTAGAGTTGCAATCTCAAGGGATCAACACATGGATAAAGTCATGCTTGTTGAATCCCTTAGCTTCAACTTAATGTCTGTCTCAATGCTTTGCGATTTAAACATGATCGTAATATTTGGAAAATATCGTTGCCTTGTTCTAATGGAATCTGACAAGTCTCTAGTATTTGAAGGGTATCGAAAAGATGATTTGTACGTGGTAGATTTCTCAGCAGGACCACAACTTGCCGTATGTCTTCTAGCAAAAGCTTCAGAATGCTGGCTCTGGCATCGGAGGCTTGGGCATGCTGGCATGAGGAACCTCCACACCCTGGCAAAGAAGAAGAATGTCATAGGCATCGAGGGCATCAAGTTCAAGAAAGATCACTTATGCGGTGCTTGTGAGGCAGGAAAGATGACGAGGGCCAAACATCCCTCGAAGACAATCATGACCACTACTCGACCCTTCGAACTGCTTCACATGGATCTTTTCGGTCCCACTCATTACTCAACTCTTACTACTACTGCTTGTCTCTATGGCTTTGTCATTGTTGATGATTATTCTAGATATACTTGGGTGCACATAATCCTTTACAAGACTGAAGTGCAGGATGTCTTCAGACGCTTCGCCAATCGAGCAATGAACAACTATGAACAATATTTGAATCTTCTCTGAATTCTTTTATGTATGATTGGTTATCTTTGCAAGTCTCTTCGAATTATCAGTTTGGTTTGGCCTACTAGATTGATCTTTCTTGCAATGGGAGAAGTGCTTAGCTTTGGGTTCAATCTTGTGGTGTCCTTTCCCAGTGACAGTAGGGGCAGCAAGGCACGTATTGTATTGTTGTCATCGAGGATAACAAGATGGGGTTTTCATCATATTGCATGAGTTTATCCCTCTACATCATGTCATCTTGCTTAAGGCGTTACTCTGTTTTCATTAACTTAATACTCTAGATGCATGCTGGATAGCCGTCGATGAGTGGAGTAATAGTAGTAAATGCAGGCAGGAGTCGGTCTACTTGTGTCGGACGTGATGCCTATATACATGATCATACCTAGATATTTTCATAACTATGCTCAATTCTGTCAATTGCTCAACAGTAATTTGTTCACCCACCGTAGAATACTTATGCTCTCGAGAGAAGCCACAAGTGAAACCTATGGCCCCCGGGTCTATCTTCATCATATTTATCTCCTAATACTTAGTTATTTCCTTTGCTTTTTTTACTTTGCCTTTATTTTACTTTGCATCTTTATCACAAAAAACCAAAAATATTATCTTATCATATCTATCAGATCTCACTCTCGTAAGTGGTCGTGTAGGGATTGACAACCCCTTATCGCGTTGGTTGCGAGGATTTACTTGTTTTGTGCAGGTACAAGGGACTCGCGCGTAGCCTCCTACTGGATTGATACCTTGGTTCTCAAAAACTGAGGGAAATACTTACGCTACTTTGCTGCATCATCCCTTCCTCTTGGGGAAAACCAACGCAGTGCTCAAGAGGTAGGAGGGAACTCTTTGAGGTTCTATGTGTTGGTTGAATAGATGAATCTGAAATTGTGTGATGCATATTGTATAATCAAACCCACGGATACTTGAGGTAACATTGGAGTATCTAGGTGACATTAGGGTTTTGGTTGATTTGTTTCTTAAGGTGTTATTCTAGTACGAACTCTAGGGCTGTTTGCGACACCTATAGGAATAGCCCAACGGATTGATTGGAAAGAATAACTTTGAGGTGGTTTCGTACCCTACCATAATCTCTTCGTTTGTTCTCCGCTATTAGTGACTTTGGAGTGACTCTTTGTTGCATGTTGAGGGATAGTTATGTGATCCAATTATGTTATTATTGTTGAGAAAACTTGCACTAGTGAAAGTATGAACCCTAGGCCTTGTTTCAACGCATTGCAATACCGTTTGTGCTCACTTTTATCATTAGTTACCTTGCTGTTTTTATATTTTCAGATTACAAAAACCTATATCTACTATACATATTGCACTTGTATCACCATCTCTTCGCCGAACTAGTGCACCTATACAATTTAACATTGTATTGGGTGTGTTGGGGACACAAGAGACTCTTTGTTATTTGGTTGCAGGGTTGCTTGAGAGAGACCATCTTCATCCTATGCTTCCTACGGATTGATAAACCTTAGGTCATCCACTTGAGGGAAATTTGCTATTGTCCTACAAATCTCTTCACTTGGAGGCCCAACAACGTCTACAAGAAGAACCTTGTGTAGTAGACATCAGTAGCAGCGAGAGGGGTAGACTATTAGTGGCGTCTAGGGATTGTTGGTATTCCGCCTCGTCGGTCTCATGAAAACGATTTGTGATCCTTGATCACAATATTTTCTGTGGTTGATGCCTTACAGAAGGATTCCTCTAAACCAGAAATTATTATTTGGTTTAGAGGAATCTTGTAGGAATTTCATAGGATGGAATTTTTATAGAAAAAAATTCTTTTAGTGCCCTTTGGTTTGTAGGAATGGAATCCTATTATTATGAAGGAATTCTTCCTATCCTCCACATTTCATAGAAAAATAAACATTAGACTCAATGAAAAAAAAATCCTATGATGTGAATCAAAGGGCATCTTCTTTCATATTCCTACTCATAGGATTTGAGATACATGTCATCTCATTTTCTATGACTTTTCTATCCCTACGATTTTCCTACCCTATGAACTAAAGGAGGCCTAAAAAGATGGTGGAAAGGAAGTACATATTGTATGTTATGTGGTCATGATGAGAACATTGTAGACCACTTTCTCCAGATATTTTGTTGTTAGGCTGTTTTGGAGCCTTATTAAGTGTGCTTTCAATCTAAGATCTAGATCCAATGGCTCCCAGCTGAAGGTTTAGGTGATTAGGGCAACGACCCCTCGATCTCCTCCGTCGGTGATCCCATGGATTTGCCTCCTTTATGCCCGCCGCTTCGATGGCTGGTGAATGGGAAGGGAATCCTGGTGCCGTTGCTTGGATTAGTAGGTACGTTAGAGTTAGTCCTCGCAGGGGGGTGGGGGCGCTCAGACGAATGATGACGCTTATTCTCCGAGTCATTATTTCGACCTTTGATTCTCCTCAAATTCATCCATCAGGACGGATTGACGAAATAGGGTTTTTCCCCGCTTTGTATTACAAAGCAACCGTCAACGATACAATCAACGATAGGTGTTGGGATGGAAGCAGCACAGGCACGCCCAAAAGAAACGAAGAGAAAAACAAAAGAAATAAACGCCGACACCGGCGGATCAACAAAAACGAAGAAGCTTCGCCCCCATCGCGCCCACCGGGGAACCTCCACCAAGCTCCTATACTCCGAAGTGCCGGTACCAATCAACACCTCCAGGAAGGGATGTGACGATGACGACGCTGTTGCCGAGAGTTTCCCCCGGTACACGGCGAGGGGAGAGGAAGGGTAGCCCCCGATGCCCTCCAGGAAGGTCCGGTGGCACCCTCACGCACCACCGTATCTGTGTCGTCTCGACCGACAGAGATTTCTCCCGATCCCAACCTTCACCACGGGCGCTCCGGAGCACGCCATCAAACAGACCACCACCCTGCGCCAAAACGATCTTGAAGCTTCCTCGCCGTCTCACCACGGCACCGCGAAAAGGGGTCTGCTCAACGAAGAAGAGGAGCCGGGACTAGGGACAGCAGCACCGTCGGCATGCGGGAGGGCCCAACCTCCACCATCAACGATTAGATGAAGCTCTGGTGTAGATTGCTGCCAACTCCCAGGGGCGGCAAGGTTAGAGTATCTCATCGTGCGTACACGACAGCCAGATTTGTGTTAGATTCTTCAGATTGATTCAAGTGTGTAACGACAACGACTGCGGCTCCGGCGCCGATCCTTGAGGACACGTGCATGAAGACTTCTACCATCGACAAGTCAGGCCGGCTTCGGTATGATGAGGGCTTGGTCCAGGGACGTCGATGTATTTTCTATTACGTTTTGAGTATGTTTTTCCCAAACAAAATTGAGGGACGTTTTTTTTCCAAAAGTAAGCGCACAAAGTACACATTTTAAGTATGTTTTTCCCAAATAAAATAGAAGGAAATCCAAGGTTTCAAACAGACGACGCTTGTCACGAGAAGGCTGAAAAAACGTACGCGAACAAATTTCGAAATGCGCCCACGCTGCTACCCTCACCCACGCGTCCTCAGATAAAAACTCCCCCGGTCGCCACCCCGCTCCCCTCACTCGAACACTCCGCCATCCCCGCTCCAAAACCCCCCACCCCGCCTCGCCGGAACCCTAACCCTAGCCCCGCCGCCGCCCCCTCCCTCCCGACGCCATGAGGGAGATCCTCCACATCCAGGGCGGCCAGTGCGGCAACCAGATCGGGGCCAAGTTCTGGGAGGTGATCTGCGACGAGCACGGCATCGACCAGACGGGCAAGTACGCGGGCGACTCCGACCTCCAGCTCGAGCGCATCAACGTCTACTACAACGAGGCCAGCGGCGGCCGCTACGTGCCCCGCGCCGTGCTCATGGACCTCGAGCCCGGCACCATGGACTCGCTCCGCTCCGGGCCCTACGGCCAGATCTTCCGCCCCGACAACTTCGTCTTCGGCCAGTCCGGCGCCGGCAACAACTGGGCCAAGGGCCACTACACCGAGGGCGCCGAGCTCATCGACTCCGTCCTCGACGTCGTCCGCAAGGAGGCCGAGAACTGCGACTGCCTCCAGGGTACGTGCTCCCCACCCCCCGCCGCCGGATCTGAGCGAGGGCTTCCCCCCTCTCTCTCTCTGCCTAGACGCATCTAGCCTGTAGATCTGTGATTTATTCCGCATTTCTGGCGCCGTGAACTTGTAGATCTGAAATGTTTGGCGTAGATTCGACGGATTTACGAGTCCATTTAGGAATTTGTGCGGTTAATTTCTCTCTGAATGTCTACTTTCTGCTTACTTGAGCAGTGGCCACTGATTTAGATGCGTAAGTAATTGTTCATCTCTTCTTCACTGCAGGATTCCAGGTGTGCCACTCGCTGGGAGGAGGCACTGGCTCCGGAATGGGTACCCTGCTCATCTCCAAGATCAGGGAGGAGTACCCTGACCGGATGATGATGACATTCTCGGTGTTCCCATCGCCCAAGGTGTCTGATACTGTTGTGGAGCCATACAATGCTACCCTCTCTGTGCACCAGCTTGTTGAGAATGCGGATGAGTGCATGGTTCTTGATAACGAGGCTCTCTACGACATCTGCTTCCGGACGCTCAAGCTTACCACTCCCACCTGTAAGTGCTGAAATGTTCTCCAGGTTCATTTCTGCATTTTTCTTAAGTTGTGTATCAGCACTCAGTAATTGACATCTTTCTGAACTGTTATGTTGTCCTTACTTATGTTGTCCACTGTCAGTGTTTACATTTATGTCTTCACTCATGGTCAGTCTCACATACGTGTTGCTTTCACATGATGCTCAGTAGGTGTTAACTTCTGCTAGTGTTCCGAGTTGTGTAGCGTATGGCCAGTTCTTCATTTCCATGAGTTAGTCTTTGGATTACCATGCGAGTCTATTGTTGCGTGCATTAAATGCAATTTGTGAACATGGTTGTCAGCATTTTGTTGTCACAGTATACATTTGCACATGTACACATCGTTACCTGTTTGTTGTGTATGGATCTTCTGGTAGATATGCTTTATGACACTGATTGTCTAAATGTAAAAACTGATCTCAGTACCTTCAACACCATGAAGGATAGTTATTTCTTAAGTTGGTGCTGTGCTAGTTTTGTAGGTGGTATTGCTAGAATCAGTATTCGATTGCTCATGTAAAATGGAGCCTTTTATTTTAAGCTCATGATTGCTGGACTGAAAAGAGTAACATTCTTAATACACTGCACTAGCTAAAATTGTTTGCTTGGTTCTTACCTCTTTATGTTCTAAGTTGTGTACCACTCTACAACTGATTCTTCTTTTCCATTGTTGTGTACCACTCTGCGTGATGTTTGTAAATGCAATCTGCAAACAGCACAAAGGGATGTTATTTCTTCAGCTGTTGTTTGTGTTAGTCTTGTAGGTGGTATTACTTGAATCAGTTTACTGTCCATGTAAGCTCATGATTGGTGAACTGAAGATTAACATTCTTAGTATACTGCACCAGCTAATATACTACACCTTTATCTCTTTGTTTTGTATCGATCTTCTGGTACACATGTTTTATGCCACTGATTGTCTACATGTATACACTAATCTCATTGCCTTTAACACCATGAAGGATAGTTAGTTCATAAGCTGTTGCTTGTGCTAGCCTTGTTGGTGGTATTACTAGAGTCAGTATTTGATTTCACATGTTACCTGGAGCCTTTTAAGCTCATGATTGGCAGACTGAAAAGATGAACATTTGTACTATACCACATTAATTAATTTGTTGTTCTGTTTCTGCTCACAAATTTATTCACTTGGTTCTCATCTTTCTTTATTGATTGCAGTCGGTGATCTGAACCACCTTATCTCTGCAACCATGAGTGGTGTTACCTGCTGTCTCCGCTTCCCTGGTCAGCTGAATTCAGACCTCCGGAAGCTTGCTGTGAACCTGATCCCATTCCCACGTCTGCACTTCTTCATGGTTGGATTCGCACCGCTAACCTCGCGGGGTTCACAGATGTACCGTGCCCTCACTGTGCCCGAGCTCACCCAGCAGATGTGGGACTCAAAGAACATGATGTGCGCCGCTGACCCAAGGCACGGCCGCTACCTCACCGCCTCAGCCATGTTCCGTGGGAAGATGAGCACCAAGGAGGTGGACGAGCAGATGCTGAACGTGCAGAACAAGAACTCATCATACTTCGTTGAGTGGATCCCCAACAACGTCAAGTCGAGTGTCTGCGACATCCCGCCCACTGGCCTGAAGATGTCTTCCACATTTGTCGGCAACTCCACATCGATCCAGGAGATGTTCCGGCGCGTCAGCGAGCAGTTCACCGCCATGTTCAGGAGGAAGGCCTTCTTGCACTGGTACACGGGCGAGGGCATGGACGAGATGGAGTTCACCGAGGCCGAGAGCAACATGAACGACCTGGTGGCCGAGTACCAGCAGTACCAGGACGCGACGGTCGAGGAGGAAGAGGACTATGAGGATGAGCAGGAGGACGAGGAGGCCGCCTAAGCCATATCTCCTCCCATTCTTCCTATGGATATGCCTTATATCGCTCGTGCTCGTGGTGCTGTTAGCTGATGATAGCTAGATGCTATTTTTTTTTTCCATTCTGAATGTCCGTCGTGTTGCCTAGACAGACTTATTTTTTCGTTATGTGGACCTGTGGTCGTCGTGTATGCTCATGTCGTGATGAGCATTTGGTGTAAGGTTTGACTGTGACTGCTTGGTGTGTTATTCAGTAGTGCTACTAGATTGAAAACCTCTATTCTGTGTCCAGTATTTTTGGGTCAAGTTGCCAAATATGCTTCTGTCATCTTGTGATCTTGCAATGCGTTTGAACTGGAGTCTATCATGCTTTGGGTGAATGAACTTCCAACCTACAGGCAAGCTCATTTGATCTTGGAATGAAGGCTTAAAGTTGAACTGACGAGTCAATTATGCTTTGGTTGGTTCTTGTAGCGCTATTATATACATATATGCTGTTATTATTTCTTAATGCCAAGTTGCCTTAACAAGCTTTTTTTAGGTTAATAGGCTTTGTTTCTTATACGAATCTCCTGCCATTTTGGATTGGCAAATCTGATTTCACAATGTAGTTTTGGTCTTGTAGGAAAGTGGAATCTGTTTTGCTTTATGCATGTGAATAATCTTTAAAAAAATGCAAGGGCATTTCAAAAGTAGAACTGGTGCGTGGCATAAACGATCAAACAGAACCTTCTTATAAGTGGCATCTGTTCTGTTTGGTTGAACTTTGTTAACACAACTGAGATCAGATTACAGGAGGGAATGAAAAAAATGCCAGCTTTGTTTGGTTCGAGTGTGCACCGGAAACGTATCCCTTCATGGCGCTTGGTCGAGGAAGTTGCACAACTGTTCAAGAAGAGGAAATCTTGTACCACAACCATGGTGGCTCATGGTACCAGGAAAGCAGCAGACACACTGATCCAACACAGGCAAAACTGGATACCAAAATTTGGTGTAATAAAACTGAAGTAATCTTGGACTGAACGAATAACTTGGATATCCAGTACCACACAATATTTTCACTCTTCGACAGAAATGAAACTCAAAGTACAGAAGTCAGGTGCCAATGTTAGCAACCTCAGGTTTGGAGCTCGAAGGTATTGTGGCCATCCGGGCAATCAGTATTTCCCTCAACAGCTTGGATAGTAAAGAACAATGATCATATTGAAGTGATCTTGCCAGTTTCACCCCCTCAAAAGAAATTAAGTTCTCATTTTCATACATTGTTAATACTAAATCCACAAAATTATTATAGCTCACAGAGAAACTCTCGGATCACGCCGACAGTTGTGTGATACCACATGAATATCTAACATGATGACAGTCTCAAACATTAGGACGGACACTACAAAATCTCAGAAACTCGTAGGACAGTGGCTTATCCGAGGAAGTTCATGATCACCAGGTGGAGCACCAGATTGCACAGGACAAAATCTGCAAAGGCCCTTTCTGGAGGAAGATCCTGCAGATAATGTTTTGACGTACAGCGTCATGCTGGAAATCCAAAGAACAAACTATCGCAGCAGATAAAACACGAACAGTGAAAATAGAGTTACCTTGAATTCCTTGTTGTCCTTGTTGACTTGAATACGGAGGCACACTGCAAAAACGTAGGCAGTTACATATCATGCAGCCAAGGAAGGGTAACCAGGATCGAGAGGGGGTTAAGAAATTCTTACCAGCAAGCACTGCAGTTCCTATGCATGACAGGACACCTGAGAGGAACGAGTTGAAGGGAAATGACCCAACTACTCCCATGTAAGCAACCTGGTTTGCCACATGAGAGAGCATTTTAATAGCTTTCAAATGGCTTGCCTTTTTTTTAGTTATGGGTGAACCAGAAGACTTATGGCTTATAAGTTGAACACAAGGCTAATGCTTATTGCTTAGTCAGCAAACACACGTGATTAAAGGAAACTTGCACTGAATATTAATAATCTGGGTAAGACACCCTATATCACACCTAGACAACCACGGCTAACACTTTCATCTGCTAAATCAAACATTTAGCAATCCATGACATTTACGCCTACACGAATTCAGTTACCAGATGGCTAGGTAGAAGGTAGAGCAGATTTTTGCAAGCTGATACCCTGCTCCTATTCAAAATTGAGAAATGTGGTATAATAAGCAAAAATAATATCACACTTCCTAAATCCTCATGCTATACTAGAACAAAATATTTCATAATTTGAATATATTCTTGCTTTCTTCAAAAAACGAAGTTGTCCAAGTAAGATTCTAACTTCTCCATCCTAAATCATATATCTTCGGTAGAACATAAAGCATCAAAATTTACCTGAACAAGGGCAGTCACTATGGCGAAAACAACATACAGATCAATGATCTGCAGAAAAATGAGAATATGATGAGCAACCGGATAGTCGACAGTGGCCACAGGTTGGCAGTAACACGAGAGAGAATGGCAATTGCCTTGAGATTTGCGGGCGTGGCGGCATAGGCCTTGTTCAGGGACTGGATCAGGAGCTTGGCATCACCCGTATCCTTCGGCATCCTCGTGAATCCGTCAGAACGCCTGGAGTTAACCAGTAAGAAACAAAAATAATTCACAATCAGATTCTCTTGCACTGCAACAATGTTAATCAAAACCTAGCAGCTGACAGCATGCATCCGGAATTCGGACCCATTTCTTTCCAGAATGGTAATGCAAACAATGGATTTCTACTGTTACCGTAATGAAATGGGCAAGAATCAAAATCTGTTTGGTTGCTACGAAATGTAACATCAATCAATACCCGAGTTCAGTGCGAGTCGATTCGTGGGCTCACAAAAAAAAATTCAGATCACAAAAACCTTTTAATTGGTGATCTGTAGTTGAATCTAGATGTGGTTGCAGTCTATGACCAAATGTTGAATTCGGAAGAGATGTGTCGGTTTGCAACGACGTTAACACAAATTGTAATCGAATCAAGTGATTGTGGGTTTGGTTGGGGTGTCATGGCCATTTCCCCTTAATTTTGCTCCGTCCCGCGCTACATTGTGGTGTCTGGCTAAGAACCTTCATGCCCACACAGGCAGTACATAGTAAACCTTGAAGAGAGCATCATATTCATAACAATCTGAAAATATAGAAATCTGAAAACAGCAGCATCAGGCAGAGATCTCAACCAGCATTCAGAGTTTAAAGGGCACTCATTAGTCATTACATAAGCGCATGTGACAGAGATCTCAAAGCTGAGCAGGGCAAGCGCGGCAGGCAAGAAGAGCTTGCGCAAAGGGCCCGGCCACAGGGTGATGGAGAACAGCCTGG